ACAAGTTTGACTCGATTTATAGAAAATACGTGCAACATTTGTATCTTCTAATAAATTTATTAAAAAATTAGATTCAAAGATCTTTTTAATGATACTAATTATGTACCATAAATATTAATATTTTTTAATATATATTTAGTCAAAGTTGTTTCTCAGGAAGCGAAAACGACAGATATTTAGAGACAAAGGGAGTACATGTTTTCAAACTAATCATTTAAAAGTTGTTGATCCCGGTAGTTTTTAAGGTTTAGCTGCATCTCATCCTAAAACCCTGTGTCCTTTATGAAGGGGTATCTTATCTCCACCGCAGACTGCTTCAAACCTTTGTAATTGTTCATTAAACCTACTAAGTAACAAATCAACTTGCTATCGAGTTGTACATTTAATGGAATTAATAACATTCTTTTAGTTGTTGGGTAGGGTGCACCACAAGATTGTGACTATTCCCTTGAGCACCACAAGATCTTCATGCATGCTTCAACGGAGTCAGAACCACCAAGCTATCTACAAGGTGGCAACCTCCAATAGTAACAAGCACCACCGGCTTACAACATGATCACCTAGTGCCACTCAATGCAATCTCTCAGTGAATAAAAAGAAGGAAAAGACCAAAATGCCTTTCTCTTTTTTCCCTACCTTCTTCTTCCCTGATTTGCTAGTTCCCTAGGGGCCCACTGCCCCCAATGGCCACGTGCCCCGGCTGGTCAAACCCTTAGTGGCCTCGCGTGTTGTGGGGGCGATGTGCCCCATTGGCCTACACACCCCGGCTACCCGCGTGCCCAAGCGGTGGCGTGCCCCGACGGGCCGCGCTCCTCTGTGGCCGTGATCGGTCCCCCTCATGCCTCTTCTTCTTTGTGTGGGGGCAAAATGAGCCTCCATTCTTTCTAGGGGCCCACCAGGACGAGTTGGAGCTAGGTAAAACTACTATTTTCAGTTGCATCCCCACCAATCCTATATGGAGCAGGTTTTAAGGAGCTCTTTGGATGGAGCTATTGCGTTTTATTCTATTTGGCTCAAAATGTCTCCAAATAGCTTTAGGAGCAGATGGTGGAGCTGTGCTAAAGGAGGTCTAATTAGAAAATGAGATGTCAGTTCTTTTTTAGGGTGACAGGATTATTTTTTAGAGCATCTCCAATAGTTCTAATTAAAAAATGGTAAATCAATGAGTTTTCCAAGTGGCTAAAAAAGTTGGGAGCATAGTTGTTATGTTCCTCCGACAAATTCTAAAATCTCGGTTCTAAAATATTGAAGACAATTTTGAATCAGGAATCTCAAACTATTCCTAAATTATGCTAACCACTTTTATATTTTTTTTCTCTCCTGTGTATTTGCATTAGAAACTCTGTCATACTTTTCATTTTCCCCACGTCCTTCCACCTTCAGATTGACTGGCTACGCGCGTGCGTATATATATCCACATAAGGAGATCGAGTTTTCCAAGTGCGGAAAGATTGGGAGTTGAGATAGGAAGTTGTTGGAGACCAATTTTCTCAATTTTGCCAAATTTTTTTTGATAGCTAGTGGATTTTTGAGAACTCTTAAAGATGCTCTTTGTTGTACCTTTACACGAAATAAATTCCCGGAACGTCGATTTTGTGCTAGTTCCACATTGATGGGAGAAATAAATAATGAATTTGTACGTTCCGCGCTTGGACTGACACGATCCTAGGCTGACCATACCCAACTAAAACAGTTGAAAGAACGTTGATTGTTCATAGCCGGAAGCCTGGAACTGGAAAGCAACTGAGCCCTCTCCATCAAAATGTGTACAGGGATGCAGGATGCTGTCTTGCATCACAGGTCCAAAAGCGAGAAAAGAAGAAACACAATTCAGCATGAGGGCGACGTGTGTTTTGTCGAGCATGGGTCCTGTCCAGAAGATGTGAACCAAATGCAGAGCTTCCAACGCATTGGCAAACTTGTTGACGGATGACGGGTCCTTGGGAACGGGAGACTACTAGGCGAGAGAGCGTAGACACGGATGACGATAAGGTTCCCTTGGACCGACGTGATAAAAGGTTGCGCAAGTGCAACGATTTTAACTGTCAACTTCCATGGAAACTGGCTTTGCTGTTCATCTTCATTGCACCCGTTTACTTTCAAGTTCAGCCTGTCAATTCCACGCAGTTTACTTTCAGGTGTGAACTGTGTTTATGGAAAACAATTAAACAACGGAGAGAAAACTGATAAGTGTTCACGGAATATTGCTGAGACGGACGCAGCGTGCCTTTGTGAGCTGTGAGTAATGTCTGACTAGCGGTTTTCAGGTCTCAGCGGTGATGAAGCGAGCTGATTCCTTGAATAAAAACCAGCAGTGCATTTTGACCTTTAGGCCCATTGCAGATCAAAGGCCCAACACAGAAGCGTTCATAGAAGGAAAAAATCCACGTTACCTTCCTTAACTTTTGCGAAAGTCTGCTTTTCCTCTCTGAACTCTAAAACTAGGTAAACTATCTATCTAAACTTTTAAAACCATTCGTTTTACCTCCTGACCGGTTATAAGTTGTTTTCAAAGACGGTTTTGTCTTTTTCTTTTTTATTTATTAAAATTTGAATCTTTAAAAATCATAATAAATCATAGAAAAATCATAAAATGAAAAATCTAATTTTGTTAGACTCCATGTGAGTATATGTACACAATGAAACATATAATATAGTATGCTTTAGTACAAATTTTTTGATATAGCTTTAGATCTATGCATTTTTTAATTAATTTATAGCTACAGTTTTTATGGTCCAATTGTGGTAAAATTTTTATGAGTATAAAATTTTTACTACACTTTAAGCATACAATAATTAGCCCACCATAAAAATTTCACCACAATTGGACCATAAAAATTGTAGGAATTAATTTCAGAAAAACATAGATCTAAAGCTATAATAAAAAATTTGTACTAAAACATACCATATTATATGTTCACTGTATAGATCTACCCATGTGGAGTCTAACAAAATTAGATTTATCATTTTATGAATTTTTTATGATTTACTATGATTTTTCAAAAATTCAGCCAAAATAAATAAAAAAAGAAAAAGATAAAACCGCCTTTCAAAACCGTCTATAACCAGTTAGGGAGGTAAAATAAACAGTTTTAAAAGTTCAGGAGAAGGTTTACCTGGTTTTAGAGTTCAGGTAGGAAAAAGAGATTTTCGCAAGAGTCAAGAGGTAACGTGGACTTTTTTTTCTTTCGCTGAAACCGAGCCCGCATCCTGAAGGGCTTCTGAAACTCGACAAACCGTAGCCCAGCTAAGGAGGGCCGAGGCGCCGAGCCGATACGATTCAGGCCGGCATGGGTGACGGACGCCAGTGAGCGCGCACGCCGGGAGGGGAGGAACAGGCCTGCGCTAAGCGCTGGTGGCCGCCGGCTCTCCCCGACGGAAACCAAGTTCAAATAGGCAGGTAGCTTCAGGAGTCTCCTGACTCCACGAGCACCATCCACCATGCCTGCTCATGGTGCAGTGGAGATGGCGAAGTGGCCGGCCGGCGTAAGGTAACTTACCTCCTTGGCTCACAAACTTCCGGTTCCGTTTGAGTTCGAGAAAGGTCTACTGTCGCAGGAAGCTGTCCCTGATTTTGGAGAACTGCTCTGAAAATCCTGATGAAAAAAGAACATAACAGTTATATCTGAAAGTGAGCTGAGCTGAAATAGGAAGCGTAATAGAATTTTTTCTGAATGAAGAAGCACGAGACGGTGTTATTTTATTGATAGACGAGGAGGAATTGCAGCACGAAAAGATTAAGCATTCCGAAATTCGAGACATGTTCAGTTCTCACTGAACATAACCCATTCTGAACTCCGAATGAATTTCTACGTGGGCTGACTCAGGCCCATGGGCCATTGATATATCCCCTCGCGCTGACCGCCACGGCGCCACCTGTGAGAGCCGACACGAGCACTTCTGTTCGTCGCCCTCGGCGGCTCGGCCTGGTGCGACGACCGCTGAACTGCGCCACCGCCCACCGATGTCCACACCTCGTACTCGTAGCCACCAACCGTTGAAATCTAGCAGTTCACATGCCACCGTCATGTGCCGACGTGCGCACCACCGCCTCCGAATGCCGGAAAGGGTCTTCCCCTCCTCGCCGCCGTCCTCCGCTCCGGTGAGGGTTAGCTACCGCTTTCCGGATGCGCTTCCTACTCGCTACTGACAGAGGTAACAGTAACACCTTGCTTTTGCATATTACATTGCTAGATTTTAGGTCAACTGTGCTCATAAACATGGAGCATACGCCAAAGTGACATGTTATTTGGGGGTGTGGCTGTGTGGGGATTGGGGAATAAGAAACTACGCACAATTCAAGGGCGGAGCTAGGCCCGTCTGACCCTGATGGTTTGAAGTTGAAAATCACTGCACGCACTGTGTATTACAGCATTGCAAACCCTAGCTAGCAAAGTGGATGACCTGGCGACTTACTTGGCTGGCTTCGTCCCTGCCACAATTTAATTGCCTTGCATGGTTATAGTGTCCTCACATTTTGACCAATTATGGCCCATCGGAAGGACATGTAGAGAATAATTCCATGTAGAACACATTGCTGAGATTTAGTTATTTATCAATTACCCAGCATGATGAATTGATAATAATTCTTGTGCACCATGAATACGAAAAGTAGAACACCTTGTTCCTCACACACACACATACAAGAAAAAAAGGGAATAGAACACCTTTCTGAGGTATGCAGCAGGGACTTGTTGTAGTACACATCATTGACGGGCACAGATAAATCACAGGAACGTATTTTCTGGAAAATCACAATAATTGAACCACAACAATGGAAATCAAATGCAATGTGATACGCTTCTAATTAAGTTACTACACATCCAAAATTAAAAGAGTCACAGTTCATGTTGCTGATACAGTGGAATGATCCAAATACAATGTAATATACTTCTAAGCATTACTAAGCTCACATATGAAAGTAAGCATAACTGCTTTTCATGCTTGCTAAATCATGGCAGTATATCCTCCATGTTTTATGGTATAGGATGGCTTTCAGGCTAGGCATATGGCTTAGGTGGTATTGGTAGATTCTGTAACCTTCCTGTCAACATGTTAACCACCTTTGTCATCGACGGCCGGTTTTTGGGGTTCCATTGAATGCACCAGAGTGCAACAATGGCCAACTGCCTCACTGTTTCTTTGTCCTGGTCAGCTATTTCCCTACTAAGTGTCAGGTCCTGCCCGGCGACTACTCTCTCATAGATCCACTCTGGTAGATACACCCCATTTTGGTTCTCGATACCTGGGTCTGAATTCCTCCTTCCACTCACCATCTCTAACACCAGCATGCCGAAACTGTAAACATCTGACTTGTATGATACCCCACCAAAATTTGGAGAATATATCTCTGGTGCGATGTAGCCCATTGTTCCTCTTGCTGCAGTCAAGGTAACAATGCTTTGGTCCCTTGCACACAGCTTAGCAAGGCCAAAGTCTGAAATTTTTGGATTGAAGCTGTAGTCCAGCAGAATGTTGTGAGGCTTGATGTCAAAGTGGAGTATGCGTTGGTTACATCCTTGATGTAGGTACTCCATTCCTCTAGCAATGCCTGTAGCGATATCTAGCATTTTTTCAGGTACTAGAAGCTCTTGAGAATTAGGATTGTGCAAGAATATATATCTCCCCAATGACTCGTTTGGCATGAATTCATAAATAAGCGCACGTCTTGTTCCTTCAGAGCAAAAACCCAGGAGGCGTACTATATTTGCATGATGGATTTGTCCAATGGTTGCTACTTCATTGATGAAATCTTCTCCCTCTCCTGTAGAGTTCTCTAGCATCTTGACCGCCACCGGCACACCATTTGGTAGCTGTCCTTTGTAAACACTTCCAAACCCACCTTGGCCTACTTTTTCCTTGAACCGTCTTGCTATCTTCTTAACTTCGGAGAAAGTGTACCTTGTGGGTTTTGATGTGCCATATGTTTTGAGAAACATTTCTACTTTCAGATGTATTGCTTCATTATATCTTTTCTTCAGTGAAAGATAGAGTGCAGTGGCTACCAGAACAATGAATGCAGCTACTGATGTTGTAGCTGAATAAAAGGAAAAACAGATGAGCTAGATGCATTAGGACAAAACAGTTATGTCCCACGACCAAATTTCTTGTTTAAAAAATATTATAGTGTTATTATTTGAAAATCCCAACGTAAAAATTGTGTTGTAGCAAAAAGAAAAAAGCATCAGAATGGTAGAATTTTCAGTGGCAGCATTACCTGCAATGAGGATGACATGTTTACCTGCAGGTATGAAGAGTGAACATTAATCTTCCCATGGTTTAGTTTTGACAAGAAAAAGTAAAGCACTTTTGAAATGGGTTCATAAATCATTGCTGATTCCTACTTTGACACCAATTATGACTTTAGATATTAGGTATTGCACTGATTTTTAACTTTCCGTTATTATTGATGGAGATAATCTCACCGGGTACACACTAGCTGAGAGCTATCAAAGCTGCAACTGGGAAGGCTGATTTTCCTTGTGGCATATGCTTATAGTACAAGGTGAAGTCGGTTTGCTTCTGCATACCGACATACTCTGCTACGGATTATTTACTAATGCAAAATGCTAGTCGGTTTGATTCAAACCGACCTGCTGGCTGCTGCAATTGGCGTTTTACTCTGCTGCAGTTACTGTTTACTGCTGCTACCGACCTGAACAGCAGCAGGCCAAAACAAAATTAGCTTCCTAATAATCCTGGTAGAAGCAACTTAAAGCTAAGGTAGCTAACATACTAGATAGTCTGCTCATGCAGCTAGGAAGAGTGCTTAGACTGATAAGCAGAGTGCTGATCGTACTAGCCAGACATTTCAAGACTCATTCATCAATGCAACTTAATTCAATATTTCTATATCACTAAATCAGAGGTTATTGACCTTTTTACAATATCTGCTGCAAGATTCTCGTTTTTTAATAGTATATTAGTAAAAATGTATATTATATATGTGTTTTACATTATGAATTTTACACTTGTGCATGTCGGTATGCTGTATATGCAATATTACTCCATCAGTTGTGCTGTTACATGGTACATCAGGCACAATAAGAGGTCCAACATGGCTTGGTGCCCTCACTGGATGATGCTTGCCAATTACTTCTACATTAAGTTAGGAGTCTATTTACTGCTCTAGGATGACGAAGCTGAGGAACCTGGCAACCTGTTGAGCATCACTGCCAGCCCCTAACCATAATATGTGCCTTGAATGGACACAAACATCCATAATCATAATTAAAACACCAACAATTTACTGATGATTTCAGTGGCACTCCTTGTACAAATGTCCCATATTTCTTTTTCACCATCATTATTTGACATTGGCGTCTATTAACTTAAGTTTCTGCGAGGATGTCCTTGAATGACTCTACAGTCTTAATGTAAGGTACCACGAAAATCTAAAATACTTCATCAGAACAGAAGACAGCAATCCAGCCACAACAAGATAGAAGGAAACCATTAAAGTTAGACTTATTGCAGTTGAACTTTGCAAAACAATTTAAGCATCGTCAAAAATCTTGTAGGATGTTGAAAATGCAGGATTTCCTTAAAATTAAGACAGAAAGAAAAGAAGCATTCTAGCAGCACAATCATACTGTAGCAGACCCCATTCGGCTTGTTTGCAGCAATTTCATATAAAACTATTAAATTGTTGGCAGGAATCTTGTGGAAGTGAAAAGGAAATTGGATAACACAGAAGATGCTAGGTTAATAAACATTAGTAATGGCACATCTTAGAACGGAACACCACAAACATTATGGGATCGAGGCTGGAAAACAATACCATGATGCAGGCAGAATGCTTGTCCTCTGTTTGAACTGAATCCACAGTGTTTCCCTTCCTTTTCACACCTTTGACAAGAGTTGGTGATGTGGTTAAGGTTCCAACTGAATGTTGTTTCACCAAAATTGATTGCTCTATTTGCCTTTTCGTTGAAGAGTGACCTTCTGAAGAACATCTCATATTTTGGACCATTTTTATCGTAAGTGTAGGGTACTGGGACGTCCTTCGCAACCACCTCACAGCCCATGGGAAGAGTAGACATATCTGTATAAGGACGAACCAGGTACCAGAGCTTGCTTGCGTTGTTAACGAGGCTTAGGCAAGAGCTTGGGCCGATGATACCATCTTGATTTGTTGCTTCTCTTGAGCAGCCTACTAGTACTGAGTCTAACGAGGTGCGTGTGACAGGTGCGTACACATCAGTTGATTGATTTCGTGTGACCAGCTTCTGAAGTGGGCAGTGTGATGACGAGTCCGCTGGCAGGATGATATTCATGACACGATGCCTGTAATATATCGCTGTCACTTTGCAGGAGCCAAGAACTGGATGATCAAGGATGGTGTCATGCCCAGAGCATGATAATTGCATCCCTGGTGCGCCACATGATGGAGGGTGGCTTGGAAGCCGAAAGGGGAACCGGATCTCTGGTCCATGTTTGTGGCATCGATGTGATGAACAAGTTTTGAGGAAGCCATCATCTTCCCATGATGTGGCAGCATAGGATGCATAATTGAGAAGCAAAAGCAGCAGCACTGCCAGAAGAAATTTATGCGAGTTCATGGGATGTATTCGGAGATGAAGGTGGGAGAAGGTTGCAAGTGCTTTGGAATGATCACCTATTTGCTTTAACCTCTCAGGAGGACCGATTCTGTGCGTGTCATGACCGCAACGCGCACGCGGTGGCAAGGATTCCTGCTGTCAATATTGCTTGGATGGTAACGTGGTTTCAGGAAGCGAGAGGATTCTTATCAGCTACCTGGAAGATGCCTTTCTTCTTCAGTCTTGTTCCTACTATTCTGACTGATTTGTATTAATTTCTGATAAGGCTTGTGATAGATGAGTGACTGGTGAGTAGTTCAGCTATCAGAGGGAACCTCTGCCGTGTTCTAGCTTCCAGTGATTGCCGTGTTCCAGCTTCCAGTGATTGCAATGGCCCTGTTCGTTTGTCTTATAATCCGTACTTTTCAGTTTGTTTTTTCAGCCAGAACAGTATTTTTCTGTCACAACAAATCAGTGAACAGTACTTTCAGCCATGGCTTTTTAGCCAAACAAACAGGGCCAATGTGATCACAGTGGTTACTTGCAAGTTGTATCTTTGATGCGATTTACTCGGGTATGGTGCAAGCGGTAGAGTCTTACCGTCTGTGACCGGAAGGTCCCGGGTTTGAGTCGTGGTCTCCTCGCATTGCACAGGCGAGGGTAAGGCTTGCCACTAGCACCCTTCCCTAGACCCCGGACAGAGCGGGAGCTCTCTGCACTGGGTATGCCCTTATTATATTAATACCTTCAGATCCGTCGATTTCTATTGTTTGGATAGTGTGTGGTTGTCCAATTTTGAACCCTGATAAGATTTGTGCAGATAGTTGAGGGAATGAACTAATTATCTCATCAATCCCCATCGGCAATCAATCCAATAATGCACCTTTAGTTGGTAGGAAACAACCAGACACCATAGAAATGCTTGAGAAATCTAGGCCTGTTTGGTAAGGCCATGACTCCTCAAAAAATAGCTTTGGCTTTAGCTCCTTATTTACTGAAGAAGTGGCTTCTCTGAAAGAGCTAAAGCTATTTTGAAAAACGTTTAGCAAAATGGCTAGGGGAACCGGATCTCTGGTCCATGTGTTGTGGCATCGATGTGATGAACAAGTTTTGAGGAAGCCATTATCTTCCCATGATGTGGCAGCATAGGATGCATAATTGAGAAGCAAAAGCAGCAGCACTGCCAGAAGAAATTTATGCGAGTTAATGGGATGTATTCGGAGATGAAGGTGGGAGGAGAAGGTTGCAAGTGCTTTGAAATGATCACCTATTTGCTTTAACCTCTCAGGAGGACCGATTCTGTGCGTGTCATGACCGCAACGCGCACGCGGTGGCAAGGATTCCTGCTGCCAATATTGCTTGGATGGTAACGTGGTTTCAGGAAGCGAGAGGATTCTTATCAGCTACCTGGAAGATGCCTTTCTTCTTCAGTCTTGTTCCTACTATTCTGACTGATTTGTATTAATTTCTGATAAGGCTTGTGATAGATGAGTGACTGGTGAGTAGAAGTTCAGCTATCAGAGGGAACCCCGCTTCCAGTGACTGCCGTGTTCCAGCTTCCAGTGACTGCCGTGTTCCAGTGACTGCCGTGTTCCAGCTTCCAGTGACTGCAATGTGATCACAGTGGTTACTTGCAAGTTGTATCTTTGATGTGATTTACTTGGGCCTGGTGTAAGCGGTAGAGTCTTATCGTCTGTGACCGGAAGGTTCTGGGTTTGAGTCGCGGTCTCCTCGCATTGCACAGGCGAGAGTAAGGCTTGCCACTAACACCCTTCCCCAGACCCCGCACAGAGCGGGAGCTCTCTACACTGGGTACGCCCTTATTATATTAATACCTTCAGGATTTCTATTGTTTGGATAGTGTGTGGTTGTCCAATTTTGAACCCTGATAAGATTTGTGCAGATAGTTGAGGGAATGAACTAATTATCTCATCAATCCCCATCGGCAATGATCGATCCAATAATGCATCTTTAGTTGGCAGGAAACAACCAGACACCGTAGAAATGCTTGAGAAATCTAGGCCTGTTTGGTAAGGCCATGACTCCTCAAAAAACAGCTTTGACTCTAGCTCTTTATTTACTGAAGAAGTGGCTTCTCTGAAAGAACTAAAGCTATTTTGAAAAACGTTTAGCAAAATGGTTTCTCCTCTTGAATGGATGAAAGATGACAAGTGTCTATAATGCCCCCACGTATTATTTTACTACGGTGCAAATGTAGTTAATCCAAACCTAAAAAAAAATTGGTTTTATTATTTTTTATACTTCTATGATTAATTATGTATTTTACAAGTATCAGATATTTTGATCAATTTTAGTAGAAATGAGAGGCTAATAGTCACTTCTACATTGGGAACCATGACCTATTTCTACATTATTGGAGCCACTTTTTATTTTCTTTCCCTCTTGTACCTTTGTGTTGAAAACCCTGTCTTTTCTCCTATTCTTGCTATCAGCTCCTCTTCTTTATGTATGTAGGGGACCGTGACGCCTAAGAGGGCGGGGTTTGAATTAGGCAACTTAAAAATCTAATATGACATCTTTTTTCTAACCTTAGCAAAACCTATGCAAAAGATAAACTATCTAAATGTGCAACTACGGTTTTGCTAGTATGTTGCTATCTCTACCGCAAAAGAAGTAATGCAATCAATATAAATGCGGAAGCTAAAGAGCAAGTTAGAGATATACAAACTTCCGTCGACGACTCCGGTATTTTTACCGAGGTATCGAGAAGCAAGCAAGCTTCCCCCTAGTCCTCGTTGGAGCCCCTCGCAAGGAATCCCTCGCAAGGGCCAAGTTCCCAGTCGGGTAACTCCGTGGATAGCCTCGGGCCTTCTCCATGCGCAAGTGGGTCTTCGACGTGCCTTCTGGCAAGCCTCTCCCGGATGCTCCCGCTGTCTTCACTATCAAGCTTCCGGCCAAAACGTCGCGGGCCTTGTTCCCTCCGGTACACGGTGGCGGCCACACCACAAACGCGGTTGGTGTGATCTCGTAAGACTACAAGCCCCTCCGATGTACAACAATGATACGCGCAAGCACCGAGTGGTAAGAGGTATACAAACCTCACTAAACACTAGGCCTAAACCTAGAGCAAGCGCATAAGCGGTGGTCTAATCAACCTAAGCACTTCGCAAAGCACCTACGCTAATCACATAATGAAACACTAAGCACTATGCAAGTGGAGATCACTAAAATGGTGTATCAACACCCTAGATATGTTTCCTCAGCTCTACATATCTCAAATGGCCGGTTGGGGGGTCTATTTATAAGCCCCACTGAGAAAGTAGCTGTTGGGGACGAAATCCCACTTTTCTGCTACTGACCGGACTCTGACCAGTGTCTAGTCAGCACTGACCGGACGTGTCCGATCACGAAAACGGCTCTCTGGAACCTTACTGATGTTGACCGGACTCTGGCACCCAGCGTCCGGTCACTTTGCTGCTCAGCGTCCGGTCCAGCGTCCGGTCACCTCTGTGAGCTATCTAGCGTCCGGTCACCTCTGTGAGGTGTCCAGTGTCCAGTCCAGCGTCTGGTCCAGCGTCTGGTCACCTCTGTGAGCTCGTTTCTTCGCGATCTTGCGTCTGGCTTGGTTTCTATCTTCTTGCTTAGACTTTGCTTGATATCTTGGGTCTTCTCTTGTGCTTCTAAGGTCTTGCTTATGGTGTTGATCATCGGATCATCACGTCGCCTTCGTCCAAGTCACGTCTTGCATCCTATTGAACTACAAAACAATCACTTGCAAATTCATTAGTCCAATTTGGTTGTGTTGGTCATCAAACACCAAAATCCAAAGTAAATAGGCCAAGGGTCCATTTTCCTTACAATCTCTCCCTTTTTGGTGATTGATGACAACACTACCAAAGCAAGCAAATAATAAAAATTTGGAATTTAAAAACTATCTACTTGCTAGGATGCAATGCAAGGGGCAATGTTATATGATGCTAAAAGATACTACTTGTAAGACTAAAAGATACTACATAAAAACTTATCTTGCCCTTGCAAAATGTCCTCATGTGGCATTATGGATTTAAGCCTTGCTTCCTACAAATTCTCCTCATTACATAGACTAATCCATAATCCACTATCATCCCTTTCTCGGACTATTACCACTTGTAGACCATTACCACTTATAAATTATTATGATCTAGCTTATGGCCCTACAAATTAATGCTTGCTTTTGGTCCTCTAAATTCTCCCCCTTTGGAATCAAACACCAAAAAGGAAGACATTAGTAGCACAAGGGAGGGTCAAACTTTGTGATCCTTTGTGTGTAGAGTGGAATAAGTCACAAAATTTAACTCTCACATTATATAGATTAAGCTCCCCCTAAATATATACATACATACTCCCTCCAGGTTGGTAAAAGAAGTCATTTTGGACAGCGACACGGTCTCCAAAGCATAACTTTGACTTCTTATTTTTATAAAAATATTTATTGAAAAGGGGTATATGTATATTTTTATGAAAGTACATTTCAAGACAAATCTATTCATATGGTTTTCACATTTCCAAACTCAACAACTTAAAAGTTATTCATGATTTATATTCCCAATGTTTGACCCAAACCTTGTCCAAAACGACTTCTTTTACCAACCTGGAGGGAGTATGGTAGAAAGCAAGGCATATGCATATTTGGTAAATTATTGCTCAAGGGAATTTAATCTATATAATGCATGGAGAAAGCATATAAATATCAAAATGAAATCAACATGATGATATCGGTTTAGAAATACCACATGTGGAAACCAATTTGATTTCTACCACTTGCAATAGGTGGTGGATATTTGAAGTATGATGCTTAACTCCGGGGACTCCATTTTCCTGGCAACGAGACAACTACACACATGATAAGCTTGAAAAGGTGTTAGTCTCAAAGCATCCAACTTGTAGAGTAACCTCCCCCTAAATTTGTGCACACAAGTGTGGGATACTTGTAGAAGTCATGCACATTGATTTTAGAATCAATAATATCACTTGAAAGATGACATCTCATGAATGTGAGAATCATTTTTGAAGATGATATT